ATAAATTCTGTTAAAAATGAACCTGAAATATTTATCGCAAGCTCGAATACCCGTCACAGGTTAAACATCACGTCTGCGCACGCGCTAATTGAAAAACGAAAGACCATTTAGAACTGAGCCGTCGTATATAAATTGCTCTAGAAAGAAATATTCGACAAAAATGTCGGTACGAATATACCAAAAGGCTACATCCTACATATAAAATCTAAAGACAGAATTTCGGAGGAATTGGGAAGATGAACGAAGGCAAAAGAACAATCAACCGGAGAACAAAAGAAAAATAACCAATATACAATCACAACTGAACTGAATTTCAACACTTAGAAAGTCGGATTATCTGTCAWTTAAGATGCCTGTTGGATTTTTAAGACATTTGATCAGGAAAAAACGTCAAGGGACGCGAGAAGATGGGAAAAGTCAACTGTCTTCATGCTTATCAACCCTCGACTTGACTTCACTTGGAATTGGCGCAATCCTTGGCGCTGGAACGTACGTCGTGTCTGGCCAAGTCGCAGCAAGCATTGCCGGACCAGCAGTCATTATTTCTTTTTCCATAGCAGCTTTTGCTTCTATTCTCTCRGGGCTCTGCTACGCTGAATTCGGCGCCCGCGTTCCAAATACCACAGGGTCAGCGTACGCCTATAGCTACGTCACKGTGGGAGAGATCTGGGCATTTTTCATCGGTTGGAACTTGATCTTAGAATATATGATTGGCACTGCGGCTGATGCGAGAGCTTTGAGTGCATGTTTTGATTTTGTCATTGGTTATGCCATCAGGAACTTTACAGTGTCAACAATCGGAGAATTTCACAATCACTGGCTGACAAGTTAYCCTGATGTTTTATCCTTCGTAGTGACAATCATCATTACCTTAGTTTTAGCTGTTGGAGTAAAGCAGTCTTCAACTTTTACCAGCTTTTTCAACATCTTAAATCTCCTCGTTGTCGTCTTCATCATAGTCTGCGGTCTCTTCTTTGTTGACATGCGTAATTGGACCCAAGGGAAGGGGTTTTTCCCGTTTGGAGCGTCTGGCGTTCTCAGYGGTGCYGCCACTTGTTTCTACGCGTTTGTRGGATTTGATATCATCGCAACAACGGGAGAAGAAGCGAAGAACGCGCCCAAGTCCATCCCTATCGCCATCGTCACCTCCCTTTTCATAGTCTTTATTTGTTATTTTGGTGTCTCAGCTGTTTTGACTTTAATGGTTCCTTTTGATCACCTCGACAAACTCTCACCAATWCCRAATGCATTTGCGCAAGTGGGTTTACCCGCTGCCCAGTATATTATAGGAATTGGCGCAGTMTGTGGSCTCGCAGCAAGTCTCTTAGGATCCCTTTTCCCTTTACCAAGGATCATCTATTCAATGTCCAGYGATGGCCTTTTATTCAGGTACCTATCAAAAGTGGACCCACGTACYGAAGTCCCTGTTGTGGCAACAGTTTATCCAGGMATCGTGACCGCCATYTTTGCACTTTTATTTGACTTACAGGAACTTGTTGAAATGATGTCCATAGGGACATTATTAGCGTACACACTTGTGTCCCTGTGTGTTTTGATCCTTCGYTATCAGCCCCAACAAGAAACGTTCTACGAGGAAGAGGAAACTGGAATCTTTAGAATTCAAAATGGCAGTATTTACCTCGACGAWAATGTGGAAGATTTTGACGAATTTCAATACGAGCTTGTGCAAGAGGGCGAAAAATTGACAACTAAAGATYCACACAAAAACGAAGAGCCTAAACAAGCACGCAAAAACGACAAAAATCGCAAAAACAAGGGCGAAAAGAACCACGGGAAAGTTACCAGGCTCCCGACCGAGGAGAGCGGCCGACTGGTGACATGCGCTGTGATGTTGTTATTCGCGTGGTTCTTTGGCTTCTGTGGGTTCATTATTTTTGGGATTGATGAGATCTTTAACCACAATATCTTGGTTATTGGATGTACAATGATCTTCGGTATCTTGAGTCTTATATCTATCGGCGTCATTGCAACACAGCCCCAGAATCCAACACGGGTTCCGTTTATGGCTCCATTGGTACCAGSMCTTCCCATTCTATCAATGTTTTTTAATGTTTTTTTGATGTTAAAGCTGTCTAAATTAACATGGATACGATTTGGTGTATGGATGGGACTTGGTAAGTATATATATGTTGTGAGCTTAATTATTTTGTAAACAGCAATTTTAAAATCGTTGAGAAGGTGCTGCAATACTGCATAGTGTATTCTAATGCCGAATAGCATTGTTGGTTATTGCTTGGCCGCCATAATGGATTTTCACTGTTCCATGCAACTCTGCATATGTAACTCTACATATCTATTGAAGATCTCCGTACGAAGAGCTTTCATATTGGATAGAACCTGAACAATTTAGTTTAGAATTTGTAATTTTGTCCAATAGAGTCCAATGACAACAATGCTTTTCCGTATACAGTACCACAGATTGAGTGCTCAACGTTTTTTGAAATAGCTCGTGCCTGGTTTTATAGACATCTTTTTTAAAGTTCATATATAAATGCAGCTCTGTGCGAGGTACAAAACAGTAGTTTCCTAGAAAGCAGAAATTGTTTTGTTACCCAAGAGATGCTTTTTTGAGGTCACATTTATATTTTACGTCACGCCGGCCATTTTCTTGGTTCACTGACAAAGTTGATATTGATCATGATATTTACATATTTACTGCCAGGATCTATATTGTATTTTGGTCATGGATTATGGAACAGCAACGAGGGTCGACARCGGGCACGAGCACAGCTCATCGACGCTCAACCGCTTCTGAGCGATACTATTGATGACATTGACATCAAATACGATATGGAGGTCATTCCAGCTCACCGAGAAGACTGGGAAAAAGACTCCATCGAAGACGAGAAATTTGGCGCAGTCTAAGATGGGATATAATCGTTGGCTATATATGGTTCATCTGTTATCAATAGTAAATAATTATAATAGTTAAATATAGTTCTAGAGAGGAAGAAAATAGACAGAAAGTTATCATTGAAAGCAAATATCTCCCTACAATTGATACGCATGCGCGTACTTTCTTAACACGCGCGCGCCATGGAAAGCGCGCGAAAATCACAGGATATATTTTTTTAAAAACTACATGTATTGGGTTTCCATCCGAAAGATAACTAAATTTAGCTTTCTTTTGGCTTTTCGTTAAATATTAGCCAAATATACGTTCTCTTTCAGTACTGAATAAAAATTTAAGACTATTTATCCGATAAACGGGAACCACTTCTCGGAACACACCGTGTCCAGGTTACGTCAAGGGTATAGAAATTGCTTTGGAATATACCCTTATCGGCAAACATAGTGATTGATTTGATCGATTCTGCGTATAATCTTTTCCCAGTTACTTGTTCTGAATATTTATCATTGCAGTGAAAATGCATTCTAAGACCGTGCCGTTAGAATAAGGTTAACTATGCTCTAAAACCTGACTATTGGCATTGACATCTGAACATAACACATATCGACCCGTCGATAATTCAACATGCTCAGATTGGACACTCCGTTTTTCGAAGCATCCCACTAGATTGATAGCTGTACTTCGATGATATACGCAGAATCGATCAAATCAATCACTATGTTTGCCGATAAGGGTATATTCCAAACAAGACATTGTTGTCAGCACTAGAGGTTTCTTTTTGGCAAGAAATGAAATAACCCAGAATGTCACAACATCTTTCGACTTTGGAAAAATAAACCCTTACTCGGGCTTCCTATCTAAAATCCTTTAGTTATTTCGATGATTCCATGGGGTCTATTTATTATAATTAGATTCTACTATATGTGATTTCACTTTCTAATCGGAGGTTTCAGTGATTCTGAAAAAAAATTCGTACTACAAAAAAAATAATTTTGGGCATTCTTCAAGGAAGCCCGAGCTCGAATCTCCAGCTCAATATCAAAATAACCATTACTCGGGCTTCCTATCTGAAATTCTAAGCTATTTCGACGATTCCATGAGGTCTATTTATTATAATTAGTCAATGTGATTTCACTTTCTAATCGGAGGTTTCAGTGATTCTGAAAAAAAATTCGTACCGCAAAAAAATAATGATTCTGGGCATTCTTCAAGGAAGCCCGAGCTCGAATCTCCAGCTCAATATCAAAATAACCATTACTCGGGCTTCCTATCTGAAATTCTTAGCTATTTCGACGATTCAATGAGGTCTATTTATTATATAGTTTCTACTATATGTGCTTCCACTTTCTTATCGGAGGTTTTAGTGATTCCGAGACCGAAAATCGAACCGCAAAAATAATTTTAAGTATTTCTTAAAGAAAGCCCGAGCTCATATCTTCTCGAATCTTTCAATGCATTAAAAAGAAAGAAAGAAGAAAAAAATATTTTTTTAGACGTGCAAGAGTCAAGGATCGAATCGGGAATCCTGAGTTCCCTAAACTGCGACGTGGAAAAAATAAAATAAAGTCGCTGTATTTTAAGACCGTAACGCGTTCCTCGGGCGTGGACACGGTAATTAAGCTTGAATTTGGTGGACAATTTTGAGGCGCTATGCCATTGTCATAATTTTCAATTTTGTGTAATTTGATACTAGTTTTACTTCATTTCATTTTCTATCATCTTATGTTTATTTCGCCTTATCAAATCGAAGTTTTTTCTTCAATTAATGACATGGTTTAGAAAAAGGGCGAWCGTGTGGTTGTGTGGTTGTGTGTGTTTGTATTGTTGGTAAAATTTAATCTGTTTGASCTTTCTGTGGTTTTTGCGGAGTGTATCTCGGATAATAGCCAGGCGTTTGGTATCAGATAGACTGACACAAGAAATTAGACAATCAACTTTGGAACAGCAAAGAGCTATTTTAAGAACGGTGCACGGTTTCCTGCGACATCTTGAAAGGTGGTCGTGCCTTTACATCGAAGCGAGAAAACCGTTGAAMGCGGTAYAATTATAGAAACCTTCTTTCRCAYCYACAGACAATTATTTAYWGGTATCTATCATTGCACGCTCRACGGTYGTCTCGCTTCGATRYAAAGGCACGGCTACCTTTCAAGATGGCGCAGGGAACCGTGAAGSAGATTGTTATAAGCCTCATATCAGAACCAAGCGCTGTTAMAATGAACTGCTATGTCTTATCTTGTGCTAGTGGCTTTCACTGAAGAAGTATAATCCTTATGGCATCATACTTAGTTTTTTTTTCTAGGAATAACTATTAAAAACTATTCCATCATTCAAAGAAAAAGAGATGGAAAATCCTTACTGTTCCTGATTTGCACATGTCGACTTAAACTTGGATTTTCTCTCTTAAAAATGATATTTTATCTTGAAGTTTTTTTGCAAAATATACTTCACTTGATATTGTAACTTGATAAGGGTTAGACATACAATATTATGAATGAGATTTAGAAAGCCCGCCTGGCGGTTCAATGTGCTTTAATCCTCATACAGATCCCCTGTTCATATTTTATGTATTTCTTAATGGTCATTGTCCACCAGCATTCAATGCGGTCGTGTTTTAGATTTTCATATATGTAAAATGAGCTGACTTCAAATATCCATTCGCAATCCGTTTCATCCATCGGTTTTAAGGTCAAATCCTACAATATCTCCATTTATAGAGCATAAAGGGATAATAAAGAGTATGTTTTTGCTTATATTACGATGTATTTTTATTTTCAAACATAAACAAACGCTCGCAAGGGATGCCGGTGGACCATGGCTCTTTATTACAGTCATTACCACAAAGATTGCGCCAAGATGCAAGAATATGTATCATTCAAGACATGTATTTGTATACTATTCTTACCATAGAGCTGTTTATTTTTACTTGATGTTAATAAATGATATTTTTACATCTAAAATCCCTAATGCACTAATTTTAATAAAAATGAATTAATATTAGAATTTATATTGAAAGTATCGTATCCCAGGGTCTGATCTCGCATTTCCATATACAAAGGATTCCGTTAAATGATATTCGTATGTTTGATCCAAGCTGCTTTTATGATAAGGAAATAGTTGAGTTTCGCGATCTCTTTTACGCTGTGTTAGTCTCAATTGTGTGCTAAAATATTAAGAAATGTAGATAAAACTCGTGAGATTTCAAACTATTTCCATTGTCTTCAATGCTCACAGATCTCTTGCACTTCCATAGACAACAGTTAGTGAATAAAAGAATTTATTACATGGTTTTGAGGCTAACACAGCGTTAAAAGAGATCGCTAAAAGGGTYTATTAGGGAGGCGGCGATGGAGACGTCCCAGTTCCCTTGTGTCGAGCTGCCAGGCAACCGCCCTCRAGATTTGACATTTCGATGCAACCGTTTTGAGCGTCGATGTCCGGTAAGAACCGTACGTTTAACGTTATTAACGATCTATAACCGAGACTTCACACAGGAGGATTTGCGTCGAAACCTAAAATTTACGTAAAAATCATGTTACTGATATAAATCAACCTTTAAAATTAAAATTAACAAAGCCTTTAAAAAAGCAAAGTTTATCTCTAAGTTCTATTTAACTAAGACGCTTTATCGAATGCATTCCTGGTATCTCTATTAAAGTTCATGAACTTCCACGAGAGTTCCTCTGGTCTACGTACCACACAGTACTTACTATGTAGACAAAAGTACCATATTTCTCATTCCAGGAAGTACCATTCCGAGTACATGATAGTCCCTACCAAATTTAAGTTCCATTTAAAGTACATAATTTCATGGTGCCTGCAGGTGCGAGCATATATAGTCCCTACAAAGRTCTCACTTGTGATGGAGTTAATATAAAGTTACGTTATTCCATTAGAGCTCTGATGCAAGCACTAATATAGTCCCTACCAATGGTTCTGCTCTTATGATTGAGTTCATTCAAAGGTACATTATTCCAAGTAAACTCGAGTCCTTGCAGTAATATAGTTCCTATAGGCTCACTTATACAGAGGRTGCCAACGGTAGTCGGTCTTTCCGTCCACCTTGGTCATAGAGTCCCAATGCTCTTGCTGTTCGTTGCCAGAGGAGCCCATTCCAAAAGAGATCTCTCCTATCTGCTCCTTCTTGTTACGAATATCAGAGTAACGCAATACTGAGAGTTGGAGCGTGACCTCTTTAAGTCTCTCAACGTTGAGTCGGAACATAAACATCTCGTTAAACTCCGTGTCAATCACGTGCTTTTTCACAGAAGTGCGACAATTCCTCAGCAGTTGCTTCTCTTTTCCTAATAATTTGATCTCGACGCCGACATCTTGTGGCTTTTTCCCGCTCAACAACCCAAGGCCGCGAGTTTTGACCACCTCGACGATCAGCTTTCGAGTGAGCGCGCGGTATTCGAGAGAGATGAGCATCTCCGGTCGGTTGGCGTCCCCGGCCACATCCCCGACGCTCCKCACATCGGAGATATACCGGGTATCTATACCATAGGTATCCGGGGAATTTAGATCCAGGACRAGATTCACTTCGGAGCCATCTGAGGAAAGCGAGAGACTTTCAACGCCAACATGTCCCTGGCCGATCAGATATTTCCGAGTGATTGCCTTGTGATCGTAAATCCTGAATCGAAGTGAAGAGGATGACAACTTTCCCTTTGAAGGCAATTGAATAGTGAGGGGATCATTGAAGCGCTTCGAGCGACGTCGGAAACTCTGTTGATGCATCGGTAACAACATACAGCTGACCTCAAGGTCTTGCATTTTCCAGTCYTGGTGAGGGCCGAACTCGATTTTGTTAATCTTGATGTTGAGTTTGTTGGTCTTTTTATCTAATTTACAACTCAAGTGCATTCTTCCTCCTGATCCTATCTCAGTAGTGATCTTCGGCTTGGAATCCGTGTTATCTTCGCCGACTACTTGGACGGTCATTGGAGCAACTGTCGACTCGACTTCAGACGGTGTTGCGATCGAATCGTCAGCTGTAGTGCTGTCTTGAAAGCCGCTCTCTGTTTCCTCGTGAGCCTTTGGCGCTGGAGTCGAAGTTAATGGTTCGTCTACCTTGTCAGTGTATTCTAAATCAAGGTTTTCTTTTCCATCGATACTCACTTCACCGTTTTCTTTAGGAAGAGTCGCCTCTTTTCTCTTCTTGAGCTTAGGTTTACTCGTTTCTCCCGTTAAACAGCAYCTCCAGAGCGAAAACGCTGGGTTTGAAGGCATGTTGTCGCAATCTCTGAATAATATTGCCTAAATAACCTTCACTAATAGTTTACCAAACTTCTATTAAACAAACGATCGGGACCACGCGTCTAATCAATCCCAAACAGTTAAAGTATCGACGGATGTTTTACCAGGAGGAAGTCAAATCGACTCACTAGATCTTCATGAGAAACGGAGCTTTTTCTAGCGAGTTAAGAAAGACCACAAAAGAACACTCGAAATTCCATGGATTACTGACCGGGAACACACACGTCACGCATATATAACCAAACAACCCGAAATTTGCATTGTAAATTGCGTATTCTAGTTTTGTCTTTCGCGCAGCCCCKTCGCAGCTGAGCGTATTTATAAACAACAGTTAAAAAAACCCTTGAACAGCTTGAACTTAAGGTCGATTTTCTGTAGGCCACTAGTCTAGCTTGCGTGACTAAAAAAGAGCTTTTAACAATTTAAAGTTTACTCTCCCTCCAAAATCACCCATGCAACTAAGTTATTAATTCCCAGATCCCGCCATTTGTCGCCCCCCGCATTATATCATTAAACATAATTATACCAGTGAAATGGATCTTTTTCAGGCTTGGTTTATGGTTTCTAGACATTTCTACGTGAAAAACCACAAGTGAAAAAAGAAAAAAACATGCGAATGAAAACTTAAGGTGTCTGGTGACAGTTTTTCATGAAGTACATTTTTTAAGGTGGCTCGTGACAGTTTAATTATAAAAGTAAATTTTGATCACATATTAAAAACCTTTAACTGTATAATACATGGTTAACTTGCATATGTGAAAACCTTTGCGATCTACTCAACGATCAAGCGGTAGGCACCAGTCCTAMTCCTCAGCGATCTTAAGTTGCTAAGACAACCGATACTGAGAGCTTAAAGAATGCCTGAGCTCTTCACTGTTTGTATAAAGTATCTTTTTGTAAATAATTCTTGTTTGTTTTGCTCCCACATGCGCTAATAACTCACATTATTTCGATTTTCTGTGTGTAATTTATGCCCAAAAGAAATGAGACCACTCAACTCCTTGTCGAGTTTCAAGATGGTATTTAATTAAAGTTAAAAAAAATGTTTAAACAAGCAATTTTATTCCTGAGCTGTGAGAATATCACTCTGGATACTTTGCAAATAGTAGTGCATATATTCATAGGGTAAAAGCATGCCATACAGTTTTGCTATGTGCTGTATCTGTTGTTTGAGCGGCTCAATTGTCATGACTTTGAACGTAGTGTCACCAACTATACACGAATCCTCCTCTCCATTGTTATATAATTMCTGACATATATTTTCAAGGTTTTCAGATAATAAAATAAGTAACTTTTAAGGCTCAAAAGGTAAGTTATTTTCTTATACTAATTAATCAGCGTTCAGTGTTAATAATCGCTTATGTTCAGCGACGCGATACAAAACAATGATAATCCGAAAACACTGAAAGTCAGGGACGCGAAAATAAAGACGCTTTATTCAAGTTTATTGTCAAATGCTGAAGAGCGAACGAAGAATAAGACGTATTGAGACATTCGCACTTCGAATAGAGCTAAAAGAACACCATTACCACACAGCAATATTCATTTTCACGACGTTGTTCAGTTGCTTTGGAAACGTTCAGTTGCGGTACAGTGATGGGAACCGACTGGTGAAGAGCGCTTCAAAAAATGTCCGGCTCTGGACCACTTAAGCCTTGAATTTTTTACCAGTTTGACAGATATGAATTTGACAGCAAATATTTCTACGGAATTTCCTAACGGAAGAAAAAAATGGGCGTTTGTTCATCCAGTAATTCAAGTTCTTGGTCAACCGCTMGATCCAACYRATGCTTCTGGAGCAAACTGGACAAATGCWTGGACGTTTCAYGTTRTATTTTTCTGCACTTGCTTCAGTGTTGTGTCRATTTACTCAGTTTATGGAATAATACGYTCGTACAACCGAAAAGAAAAGGTTACGCGAATTYTGGCGTATATAATCCACGGTCTTATTTTCATCCTCGGATTTACTCGRCTTTTCACTCTCAGTGTATTCTACAATGAGATCGTTGCCACTTCGGTAAGGGCTCGGACTTCGGTTTTATCTCGGCTAATCTTCGATTTAGGATTCCCATGCATCACAGCGGCCTTTGGTCTTGTGCAGTATTCATTTACAGAAGCTTTGAAGGGCAAATTGTCGGAATCTAAGTTAGGAAATTTTAAATTCCTCAGCTTTCTCATTGCAGGGAATTTTTTACTTGTTATAATTGTAGAAGTTCTGACAGCACTTGTTAATAATCTAGCATTACTTTTCTTTGCTACAAAGTGCTATTTTCTTTTCTTTTCGGCTTTTTCAATGATAAGAATCTTGTACAGCGGTTATAAGGTGTTAAGMCATGCGTCGGAAAATAAACGCGCCTTGCACAACCTGAGTATCCACTATGGAGCGACAAAATCTACSGATGTCACAAGAAGAAAGAGCATTGCCGAAAAGGATTTAATCAAAAGCCTGCGGAAAGTCAAAATCATCCTMATTTTAACWAGCGTATTCTGTTCTGTTGTTTGTGTTATGGAGATTTATTCCATTGGTGAACTTGCAGAAATTGTGGCGGGAAAAGACGGCGCGCTCACCCCATGGCCTTGGTACGCGTATCAAACTATCTTCCGATTGGCTGAGCTCGGAATGGCGGGAACTATCCTATACACGCTCGCGCCGGCTGGACAAATGAAGAACATTTCTGAGAAAAGTCGCTTGATTTGGAAGCGTGTCTTTGGAAATAAAGATAGTAAAGTAGGAGATGAAGCGGCTCAWGGTCACCCTATGGCAATGCTTAACCGAGCTTATAATTTGGGAAATGAAAACTAGAACTGGAACGATGTTTTGTCCTTTTGAAATCACATCTTTACCAATCTCACTGTAATTAGTGAAACTTTACACAATCATTTGATAAATAAATAGATACATGTTTACAAAAACTAGATATATCAATATTTACGGTATTACAGCCTTTTGCAAAAATTATGAGAATTGTTGAAATATCTAAATATCATAATATCGAGTGCATGATGGGTAATCCCGCGCGATGCCCTTAGTCCCTTGTCTTTGTAGTTTAGTTTTTTTTTTGGCGACAGACTTATCCGTAGTTCTGAACATTTTTTCTCGATGTCAACAATGAATTATTCTAGCAAACCCTCGTGTTCCAAACAATATATGGATATGGATATTATGATATTTAGACATTTAGACAATTCTCATAATTTTTGCAAAAGGCTGTATTAATTTATATTATGATAAGTTATAATAGATTTGTCTAGTATACGAGCTCTGGTTGGTTAAGTAACGTGCTATATATAAATACACACTCGCCCTCGATAGAACACATCGCTCTATATATGATTAGACATGCCGAGTTTTACATCGACCGGTCGGTTTCCATATTTATACCTTTATATATATGAGAAGGGACAGCACAAAAGGTATCTAAAGAATTAAGACCCTTTTGATGCGCACCGTGAATTAATTGGCTTCTTTGGGAGGGCTGGATTTTCACGCTAGACACAAGACCCCTTTTGTGATGTACCCTCTCATATATCCATTTATAGATTAAGCAATGCTACGTAGAAATCGACCGGTCGGTTTTTGTTCGTGTGGTATTTTCAATGTTATATCGCTCTTTTCTTGTCAGGCAGCTAGGGAATCGTTTACAATTGAACTTATATGAATTACTCGGCTCAAGAGCAAACAAAATCGTACCAATCAACAATAATTCAGAAATACGAAAGGCGGTTTGGTGTATAAACCATGTCCAAGGTTCCTGTAGCAAAGCATCGCCCGTCAACAACATCCCCATTGAAAACAGAGAGAATATTGAAACCGCTATCGTCATAAGAGACGAAATCCATGTCAAAATGATGACTTTGCGCACCTTTCTCACCGCGCGTTTTATTTCGCGTGGAAGTTCAGGTTTTTCTGATGGATTCGAAGTGGAATGACCTCTTGAGATCTCGTGTAGGGCCATTTGGTTTGCTTTAGCTTCGAGTAGGATCTTCCGCCCACTGTAAGTGATTCTAGTCATAATAATCACCAAGACAATAATAAAGTACGATACGCAGACGATGTACAGCGAAGAGGTGTCTTCCACGAAGCTAGTGAGACCAGACGCGGCTAAGTCGATGGCAAAGTGCGCTCCTACGACCGCTCCGAGGTACTTAATGCTTCTAAGGCGAGATCTGCTGATTTTTCCTCTCACAGCGTCGACGAAAGAAATATCTATAAACGCAAAGCTCGCAGTTAAGCAAGGAAATCCAAGCCTAAAGATTATCCTTGTAGAAACTTGCAGTGCCTTGTTGAAGTCTTTTGACTTAAGTTCTTGTGGGTAGATTAGCAGGAAAACAAGCCTGGTAGTCGCCAAAAGAATYAGCARAGAATAAACAGTGAAAGACAAATATCTCGATATCTTYTCCTTTCGTTTTCGCGACTTCACAAGCGAAAATGCGCTGTACAAACCCACGCATGTRAAAATTATTGCGAATGYTRTCCAGTGRGCCTTCCATGCTTCTTGCCAGGATGAAGAAGACGATGAAACATCAGGCGATGGTTCTGGATTTAATCCAAATCGTTGGATATTCGTTTGACGAGTTTCTACCCCACTCATGGCAGTTTAAAATGATATGTTTGTCTTGGAAGCTCGTTAGAGCTAGGATGTTATGCTCTGGTAACCACAAAATTGAATTCCTGTTTACATCTTTTACTACAAGCGAGTACAATGACACTCAGCATAATAATGAAAGGTGGGAATCAAACACTGGAATTATTTCCATTAAAAAGGATTTCCCAAGTGTGYCATACATTTTTTTTCTCTGTTCAGCTTTTTCTTTAAGGCTCCAATAAATTTTTTTCAACTCGCTTTAGTCCAAGAGAGTGTAACTTTCTATGGCACGCATCAGTGCTAGGCTAAAGACAATGAAATTTCACTTAAAAGAATACAAAAAAGTGAATGTGAAGCTACAGCACTGACTATCAGCTTCGATATTCTTTTACTAATGGACGGAATTCCACTATTGTGAAGTTTGCTTTGCAAAATTTGCTTAACTACATAAGTTCAAAGTAGAATTGCAAATGTTTGTCGAAGGTTTATCATATTAGGAAACAAAAGAAAACAATGTCATCAACCGACGATTAAAGCATTATCTAATTTATGGGATTTACTTTACTCAGAGGAAAACAAAAGCAATAAATGATAAAAATATAAACAGAGTGAAAATAACAGAAAAAACTGCGGAAATGCATCGTCATGATCTTAAATCAAAATGGCGTCCATGACGTCACGCGCAACTTGTCCACTTGATCCAAGCATTATTTCGGTCCCAGCGCAACACTTCAAGAGGCAATATGCAACAATATGAAAACGATTACAATAAGGCTAATGTGAAAAGGTTTAAAAACATTCATTATTTTTGTGACGAAAGGCCTTATGGGGAATCTCGTCACTATTTCATCGTGTTGAGTGACCGAACCGTAACCATCCACTTGTAGCAGGCGTTCCTTGCGAGTCCTTGATATGTTAAAGTTTAAAAGAGAAAATCTCTAGAAAAAAAACACAACAGTAAAGAAAAAAGAAGAAAAGAAAAAAGAAGAAAAGAAAACAGGAAATAAAAGAAAAAGAAACTATAAACAAGAAAACAGAAAAGTTCCAGCAGCAGGACTCGAACTCAGGACTTTCACTTCAGCAAAAGATGTACCCCCCGGAATACATAAGAAATAATGAAAATAAAAAAAACTAAAAAGATGGGACGATTCCCCCGAGACATTCTATGAAGCTGAGGCGGCGAATCGGCTTACGTTACGGTTAGAGATTTCGGCCCTTCCACGCTATCCCGAGTGAACATAAAACTTAGTCTTAACCAAAAGGCCAGGGAGTGAGGGGGTAGCCGCCCACTAGAGCATACCTCTAGCTACCCTCTTAGACCATCGTACTATGAAGTCACTGATAGATATCTAATATCTAATTGGGGTAGTCTATTCGGTGAAGTTCTATGCTAATATATGACGTCACCAAAATCCTTAGGGAGCAGCGAGCCAATCATAGCTCAGCTCATTGGGGTAGTCTATTCGGTGAAGTTCCATGCTAATATATGACGTCACGGAAATCCTTAGGGAGCAGCGAGCCAATCAAAGCTCAGCTCAGGACACTGGGTTTGCATAATCATTCTTCGATGGATTTATATTTGATGGGGGTGGGGATGGGGATGCTGACTGCTGGTTTGCGGCCAAATACCGATGTACTCGATGTAATGTGACGGCTTTCACCGAGCTGTTCAATTGTCGTTATTGTTTTCCAAATCATCACAGGAAAATGTGTACAGTTATATCAGACGGACATCACGAGTGATTCGGATGAAAACCACGAAAAAAACTTTTTGAAATTCTTAACGTAAGTGGTTTACAGATAAGYGGTTTACAGACCAGAAGGCAGCCGCTAGGAAGGCTAGCAGATACATGTACTAGCTGTTGCCAAAGATTTGTGAGGATTGAACGGAGCAATTGAACTCCAACATTACACTCGGACATTTTCGTTCTAATATTGATTATCAAATATTGGTTAAATGTAAATATAGTGAAKGTTAACAATTCAAGAGGATGAWTGACTAATTTGTTTAAATCTTTGTTTTTTATTGCATGCAAAACTAATCAGGCGAATTATAGCAAAAATACAGTTTGAATGATATAATAAGTTTGAACATTTTATCGAAGAAAACGTTCGAGAATTTATCGTGAGTTTACAAGTCAACCGGGTACAGAAAGATGTCTTTGACTACAACTAAATTAAAGCTCTAAGGTATCCATGTCGTGATACAAATCTCTTTTCCAAATCTTTCAGATGGATATGTTTACTGTAGGCAGGGAAACAGGGCGCCCTGCGTCATGCCCCCACGGGAGGCGGGAATGATCAACCATCACAATAGGTTCCTTAGGGCCCCTGGGAATCGGGTATTTATAGGCCACGTTCCATTTCCTTACAGCGTATACAGATAATTCAGAAAACGTTGTATACTAAAAATAGTGTATTCCAACTTACTAAATCTCTTAATGGCCTAAGTCACATGCAGTCCTCGACTGCCTATTTTTGACATAAGTTGCCACGGCCGCACACTGTGGATCTTCGAACTGTTTATCCGTTCAGCTCGCTAGGAATATTTTTTTCGCAGACGTTATGAATTGGAGAATTGTCAGGTTTTTTTTGCGGCCTTAAATATATAACACCTAAATTAACCTTTGGAGGACGTTACTTCTGCTCCCAAAAGCAATTTCCAAAACCTGAAATTCAATGACGTCACGTGAGAGTCACAGCTGTATTTCGCGGGCTCATTTAGAGTCCTTCGTAGCGTACCCTTTAACCGGGCTTCCTGTCTTTTACGAGGCACAGGAAGCCTGACAAAATGCAGTGATTAAAGGAAAATTATTATTATTCCACTCTGTCGCCAATTCAATTGAAAAGCTGAATTAAAATGCTATAATTTATGTACGTGGGACAAACGGCTAATAAACTCGATAACGAAAGCGCCTGCAATCATCATAACATTTTCACAGCAAGCCAGCTAAACAAGGGGTGTAATGTTATTGTCTGGTTTCACTGCCGCCCCTCGAATGTCAGCAGGTCGAACCAAAGCTTTGTTTTTCAGGGACGTCCTGCTGTGATGGTAACATTAAGCAAAAAGCTTTTTTGACATGATGATAAGAAAATGGCCTCAGGGTCTTTCTATTCAATTGACTTTTTTTATGGTTTTGAATGCTAATATAATTTTTAAATTATAAAAGACAAAACACAGACTTGCCACAAGCTGGACTCTCTTTGTTCAGCGTAGAATACGAGTCCTTTGTGCCGYYKGGCCAAGTKAATGTCTTCACAAACTATTATTATGGAGTGAAGAACATAAAAATTAAAACTATGAAATTTACTGATTAAAAAGCGCTAAGTTGTACTAAATTATGCAAATTCCTTCGTATTGTCTAATCTACACTATATTGCGCTATTTAGCGAGTTCTTTTTCACGCTGGCACTTAAATCATCAAAATTATAATAATAATATCAATTAATAATACCATACTAATGATAATAATGATGATAATATGATAGTGAGACCTAAGTTTGCCCCCACCGCACGCAACTCTWCATTTTCACTCTTTAGAACTACATAATGTATTTTATCGAAGAGTGGCCGTATTCGTTCCCAGACTTCCTCAGATAGAGTAATAGAGAGAGGCATGCAGAGAGGGTTAAGCTAACTTATGCTGATTCCTTTATGTTCTCTTACCTAATAGACACTATAAAAATGTGACGAATCTTATAATTCGGATGATTATGATGACAAGAACGGTTTTGAWTATAATGGTGATACGGTGATTTAAGAAAAAAAAAACGCCAGTAGATTGAATAACAACGGCCCAACATGTGCGGTTTCAGCTGTTTAATTCAAAACTGAAACCAAGCTTTCTTTAAAATATTTTCAATGCTACAATGTTGTAAATAATCTTTTAAAACCCAASCACATTATATTATCTTTACACGACCCATATATGGAATTATTGCAACAAAGAATGCCGGGTAGTAGCAATCAATCACGTGACTGAACCAGCCAATCAGATAAAGCGACTCCATTCACGTGACCTTAATGTCCGATGACGTCATTCAAGAATCAACCAATGGTAATTAAACTAGAGATTACGTGACTAGCAGACGGGATTTGTTGGCTGTGTAGTGTTTTTTTCCTCGTCGGTTTTTTCTTCCTTTTTGTCGTCATGTTCCTCTGCTTTTACTTGGTATTCATCCATCTTTGCTTCTTTCTTTGCCTTTTCAACTTCTTCGTCTGTTAGCTTAACCCAGGAATCTCTGTCTCCTTTATCTTCCTTGTCATCGCTACCAGTGTCTTTGTCCACGTCGTCTTGTAGTTTCGGGGTATCCATCTCTTCGTCTTGTTGGTCATCGGTTTTTGTGTCGGTTATTTCCTCTGTTGTTGTCGTTGTTTTAGCGCGGTATTCGTAGGTGTACAGTGGCTGGAATGACTCAAAGAATCCGCACTCTTCTGTGAGGTTCGGTAGAAGCCAGAAATGGTGTTTACCGATACTGACTGCCCAGATCACACCAAAGAGAATATAACGGACTAAAGACAAGAGAGGAGAAATAGCATGTTATCCTATTATATAAGAATAAATCTGACTGCMCAGATCACATCAAAGAGAATATAACGGACTAAAGACAAGAGAGGAGAAATAGGGATGTTGTCACAATATATTAGAATAAATCGATAAACGAATGAGTTATGAATGAATGATTGAATGAATAAATGAACAAATTGGACAAATGAATGCATGAATGAAATAAATCAATGGATGAATGGATGTACAGGCAAATAAATGAATATATGAACAGATCAATTAGAAGGCCATTACTAGGTTACATTGTGTATGCATTGTAGACCCAAACGAAAAAATAGAAATACCCAAAAGAACTGTTAGTAAGTACTGTGTTGTCACGCAATCGGTAACGCTACTCTAAGTGCGTTGTGTGACGACACAGGAGCAGCTGCGAAAGGGGCCTATACTGTATATAACTATGATGAAAATTGAACAAGTAATTGAACACTTACAGACTGCCAAGAAGAGAATAAAACCAATACCAACAGCAGCAATAACACTGATGTACCAAACTCCTTCTCGGACAGAATCTGGCCACAATGGGAACAAACAGATGCCAATAGAACCCAAGACTAAATAATTATACAAAAACCTGTCAGTAGATCTTAACATTGTTTTTAATAGATCTCGGGTTCCCTGTGGAAAAATTGTTACTAGTCCCCCTCTCTCTGATCTAACACAGGAAGCCCGGTCTTTCTAGAAACAGGTAGTTAAGAGGATGGGGTTAATGACAGACCTTAATTAACGTACCTACTAAGATTCCCATTACAAAGGTTTTGGGGTGGACGGGATCAAAAATCCACACATAGGCCTRAAAATATGAAATGAAAAGATGTGAATATACTAATACAAACACCACCATGAACAAAGACAGACAGACCTCATCACCATCAAGGAAGATCTGGTCATCATGTAGTTCTAATTTGACTTTGACCTGTTAAGGAACAAAAGTTCATTTTGAATAAGCAATGAGATGAGAAAGATGGGAAATTTCAGTGGAAAGGAGAACAACAACTTGGAACGAAAAAACAATGAAATTTAGGACAGGAAAATTGGTCGAATGGAAAGGAGGCAGCAAAAGGAAGCCTTGTAATGAAAAACAAAAACAAATGACTGGGAAAATAGGATGAAAGAATATAATGAAAAAAAGGAAATATGGTGTTGTGGAAAGAGAAAGAAAGACACTGGATTGATTGAGAAAGAAAATAAAAAAAAATGAAAACCAGAAACTTACTTTCCGTTTTTTCTTTCCCTCTTCTGTAGTTGTAGTACTAGTAGTGCTGGATGACGTGGTAGCACTTTTGCTTTCTGTTTCCTGTCATGACAACAAAACATTAATAAACACAAAGACACTAGAGCTCCTACATCGCTGCAACAAAAGTATCCAATCAGAGCGCAAGTTAGCTCATGAATATTAATCAGTTGTGAATACAATATTATGTGACTTTCATACTTTGTCTAGTTGCTCTTCTCCTTGTGCGCTGTCATCCTAATATTAGGCACAGATGCACAAATAGAGACATAATACATTAATTATTACTTGTTAATGGGTGGCTAAAACAAGGTGCGTGCCCTTGTGAAGGACAAGAGTCTGTCC